AATAATTTTATTACAATGTTCTTTGTTGTTAAGCTTTTATTTTCTATAAAACATTAATTATTTAGACTAGTTTAAAATGAGCAATGTATCAATTAATTTATGCCTAAAAGATTTAATGTACTTTTAAGCTTCTGATATTCAAAAATAACTTACATCCTACTAAATAGAATGTAAATGAATTTATATTATGGATCAAGCATCTATTTCTTCACTGTTTTTTTCTAGCATCTGCGTATGTATGAGAATAGTATGAATACATGGAAATATGGGTGTATGTGCATGTGTGTGTGTGTGTGTTTGTGTGTGTGTGTGTGTATACATATATATATATATATATACCTGAAGTCCTGGTGTGACCCTATGAGATAATGTACTGTATTACAAGGTTAGTTTGAACCACAAGGTCAGCAGTTTAAATTCACCAGTTGCTCTTCAGAAACATTATACAGGGTTGCTAAGAGTCAGAACCTACTTAAAGACAGTTAATAATAACAACAGCAATCTAGCTATATATCTACCTGCCTGTTTACCAAAAGAAAGATTATGACATTTGAAAGAGATCTACTTAGCACTTATACCTAAAGAAATACATATTGATAATGACCTTTGCTTCTTGATTAATAGATATATTATATGATCATACCACAATAAAATGGAGAACTGCTGTGGTACTGTAGGATAAGCACTGAGCCTCTAACTACAAGGTCAGCGGTTCAAACCAAGCACCAACCAACATTTGGGATCCCTATACAGGATTTCTATGAATTGGAACTGACTCAATGACACCTAACAACAACAACTGCAACCTAGTAAAATGAGTGATAATTTTCCTTTTATTTATTTTTAAAATAAATGCATTTATATTTTCTTTACATTTTATGAGGTGGCTTCAAAGAGTTCATGAAGAAATCCCATTATCTCTTATTATTCCACAAATTTTTTTAACCTCCACTCTTCCGTCCCCACCCCCTCTGTCCACATGACAACTTCCCTTCATATTTCCTACAGAAATTGCAAGATGGTGAAGGAAAATTCTGTCAAAAAAAAAAATATATATATATGTTTTGTGTATCGTAAGTGAAAAAAATTATGTTCTATGTATAGTAAGTGAAATATCATATCAATATATTTAGATTGACTCCTTCATTCTACAGATCATTATTTTCCTAAAGACAACTCAAAATATAATTTTTCCTTTCAAAATTATTATTGTTGGAGATATTGTGGTTAACAAAACTGTTCAGAATAAGGGTGAGTCATAAAGATATACAATAAGTACTTTAAGTAAAATGAGAAATATATTAGAGAAATATCCCTGTGGACAATTAGAAGAAAAAAAAAATAAAAAGATTATTCATGCATCAATATGATTATAGGAGAGATCATTTTGATTTGAACAGGCTACTGAAAATTCATGTCTAATTTTCAAATTGTCCTTCAGAGTGCGTCTAATTCATAACATCACATCTTTTCATTTGCTTGATAAAAACACAGTTCTCCTTGCCATGCCTATGAAAGCTCGCTTGACTTGTTGATTCCTTAAGCTATAAATAAAGGGGTTCAGCATGGGAGCTACTGAGGTGTTTAGCACAGCTACTCCTTTGCTCAAAGACACCCTATCTTTAGCTGAAGGTTTAATGTACACAAAAATGCAACTGCCATAAGAGATGGAGATGACAATCATGTGGGAGGAACATGTGGAAAATGCCTTTGTCCTTTGGCTAGTAGAAGGAATTCTCAAAATTGTTCTGATGATATATATATAAGACAGAATTATTAAGGCCAAAGTGAACATCAGAGTAAACACAGCACAGGAAAAGCCCATTATCTCTAAGAATTTTGTGTCTGAACAAGAAAGTTGTAGCAGTGGGAAATAATCACAGGTAAAATGGTCAATAATATTAGATCTACAGTAATCAAGCCTTAAAAGTAACAAGAGTGCAGGGAATATGATTAAGAATGAAGTCAGCCATGAAAAGAAGACAAGAAGTATGCAGAGTCTGTGATTCATGATGGTCATGTAATGCAGAGGTTTGCAGATGGCAACATAACGATCATAAGACATGGCAGCCAGGAGGTAAAATTCAGTAACTCCCAAGAGAATGAAAAAAAATAACTGAGCAATGCAGTCATTAAAGGAAATAGTTTTATCGCCTGTAATAATGGTGCCCAGGAACTTGGGTATACTAACAGTTGTGAATGAAACTTCTAATAAGGAAAAATTCCTGAGGAAGAAATACATGGGAGTTTGGAGATGGGAATCCAGCAGGGTTAGGATGATGATGGTCAGGTTCCCAGTAATGCTGAGCAGGTAGGTGATGAGCAGAAAGACAAAAATTACAACCTGAAGCTTTGGGTCATCTGTCAATCCCAGGAGGATAAACTCCGTAACTGCTGTATGGTTTCTCATACTTTAGCAGCTTATTTTGTTTTCCTCCTGCAAGACCTACAGGAAAAAGCATAAAGACCAAACTTGAAGAGTAGATTAACAGCATATCCAAGTGTGGAGCTGGAAGTTGGCTGAAATAGTAATGTTGTTGTTAAGTGCCCTTGTGTCAGTTCTGATCCATAATGACCCTGTATAGGGTTTCCAAGGAACATCTGTGAGCTTGAACTACTGACCTTGCAGTTCAAATGACCCTGCAGTCTGACACATTAGCTCGCAGCGTCACACCAGGACTCCAAAATAGTGATGTTGTTAAGTACCCTAGAGTCAGCTCCGATTCATAGCGACCCTGTCCAGGGTTTCCGAGGCTGTAAATCTTTACGGGAGCAGAAAGCCTCATATTTCTCCCACAGAACAGCTGGTAGTTTTGAACTGCCGACCTTGAGGTTAGCAGCCTGCTCATAACCACTACGCTACCAGAGTGATAGGGATCTTCAAAAAGTTAGTGGAAAAAAATGTTTTCTTGTATTTCCATTTTTTAATATACTTTTGAAGCCCCCTTGAGTTCTATTTTACCTTCAGTGGAAATGTACAGTCCCCACATAATACTACAATGCTATAGTTTCTTCTTTTACAAGTGAAACCTTGAAAGCAGTTTACAAAACTAAAAACAAAACAAAAAACCTTTACATTATTACACAGCTTAATGTGATTTGTTAGGGACTTGAACCAAAATAACCAACTCCACATCACATAACAACAACAACAACAAAATGCGACTTGTAAACTTTCAAAGAGACATGTCACAAGATTCTGGCTCAACCAGAATCTACTTCGAGTCATTGCTCCAATCTCAAATAAAATTTTCTGTGCATATTTGTTGTTGTTCATTAATTTTAGGAGAGTCTGCAAGCATATCAATACTGTTAATGATTTAACTTCTCTCAAAAGAAGGAAAACAATAGTTTAACTTTTCTTATAAGGCTAATGTTTTATTCTTAGTCATCTATCCATTTTGGTTTTCCAACTCTTACTACATCACTGAAGGCCAAAAATACCTGAAACCATCTGAGGTTGGTTAAGGGGCTTGAAACCAATTGATTATACCTGAATCTCTGGCAAACTTTCATGACATTTTAGCCTACTTAAGATTTACACCCTCGGAAACCCTGTACAGGGTCGCTATGGGTCGGACCCGACTCGATGGCACTTAACAACAACAACAACATATGTTGTTACAGTCTTCATTCTGAAACAATCCATTTCTCTTTCTAAGTAAATAATAAGGAGCCCTAGTGGCACAAATGGTTAAGTGCCTGACTGCTAGCCATAGGTTTGGCAGTTCAAACCCTCCCAGTGATTCAAAGGAAGACAGACCTGATGGCATGCAAAATACTATGGAGAACTTCTGCAACATATGTTAAAATCAACTTGACAGCATTTAACAACAACAATGTAAAATAATCAATAAGGTTAGTGGTATTCCACAGAATTGTCATTTATCCTCAGTTAAATAGATTTGTAGGTATATTTTAATTTTTAAATTTGTTAAACTGTTTTAAACTAGTATGTTTGGATTTTTCTTTTTATAAAATAAAATTTAATAGGTATTACCATAGATATTTTTATAGGAAAGAGTGAAAATCTCTGAGGTTCAATACAAGTCATTTACTAGGTTTGAGAATCAGTTAATTCCTCTTTAGTCTTTTCATCTGTAACTATACCACTTATTTCTCTGTATACCAGTCTATTTCATAGGATATGTGTAAGCATTAAACAAGTAAATAAACTAAATGAGCTAATAAGAGCCCCTTAGGTGTCCAATAGTTAAGCAGTCAAATATTAGTAGCAAGGTTGACAGTTCAAACCCATCCAGAGGTGCCTTGGAAGACAGACCTTACAATTAGCTTCTGAAAAGTCACAGCTTAGAAAATTCTATGGAACAGTTAGTCTACTCTGCACATATGGGTTTCCATGAGTTGGAATCAATTTGACATCAACTAACTACAACAAATGAGGTAACATATAGAAATACTTAGAAAAATGCCTAGAGTTTAATAAGTGACATAAGGATTTACTCTACTGAGAAAAAGTTAACCACTGAGCTTAACCATTGAACTAAAAACCTTTGGAATTAAGACTCTGTCTAAATAAATTTAACACTAAGAAAATCACATTGGAATAATACTATTGATTTTTTTAAAAAATGGATTGTATAGGTCTGTATGGCCTTCTAGGTAAATGAATATTAACCTCATTCTTCTATTTCATCTATATAATGCTGACCTCTCCTATCCTGGTCTATTTTGCTTCTCCATCCCAAACATACATACATACATACAAACATATATATACATACATACAAACATACATACATAGAGATGGAGTTTGTTGTTGAACCAGATGTTGCACTCAGGTCCAGTTGTCTAGTTTGTGTTAGATTATAGCTTGGGATTTCCTGTTTGTTTCTATGTTTTGCAAGACAAATTATTTTCCTACTTGACCAGTTATGTTTGGCTCAAACTCTCTGTATTGAGTAAATGGAAAACAAAGAATATGAAAAGGAAGAACATTTCAGTGACATAAATATCAAAAGCAAATTGCATACACTATTATTTTAAAATTATTTTCCTTTAAATTGCTTTAAAATCCACCCTTTTAATTCACTATGCTAGTCCAGTGATTTTCTTCCTTAATTAGTTCATTGAATGGCTAGTTTTTCATAATACCTTACAGTCCCAAAGGGTGTTTTCACAAGTAGAATTGTATTTCAATCTCAAGATTTAAATTTCCATGATAGCTTGTGGAGTTTGATGACCCAGGGCTTTTTATTATTATTACTATTATTTTTATTGCTATTGTATAATTAGTAATGTATCATTAAAAAAACTTTTTAAGTGTATTCATCTTTTTAAAAAATGTATCTTTTGTTTTTCTTCTTAATTATAGAATTTTTCTAAGTAATGGTACCATTCTGGCCATGGATTAAAGCTCTGAGAAAATGTATGATAAGCTGTTAAAGAATGTTTGAAAAGATGTTGGGAAAGTGTACTTAAGCACCACAAATAATGAACACTTCTACAATCAGTCTGCAAGGGCCATTAAATATATATATATGGCAAGAAGAAATGATCATGAGATGATTCAGTATAACAAGATTAGTGACAGTACACTAAACTTTTATGTAAAAATACTTATGAAAAATATTCACCATGCATGACCCTTTGAGAGAAATAAGCTTCACCATTTAACAAGGTGCATATGATTTCTAGAGCCTTAAGTCATTTCAAGGAAATGTTTAGGTACAGTACTAGAGGGCATCTTCAAGCTTTCAACTCAATACTATATACAGCTTTGTATTTCTGAGGGCAAATGTTCATTTTTCCATGCCTACAGAACATGGTTTATGTTAGCAAGCTTTACATGTCTTTTCACTCAGTTCATCAAAATTCATTTTTACTTTCCTTGTAAGGATCCATGAGACAGACTATGTATAAATAAAAATTGACAGTAATCCACAATATTGGCTAAGTAAGAATAGTGGAAAGGATCTTTAGAACAGTCATTCTCATAACACACCTATTTCCTGTTCTTACAAAATCCCTACCATCAAGTAAATACTAACAACTATCCTTTAAACTATTAATGACAACTTCTCTGATAATTAAAGTGGGACAGGAACTATACTTTAAAGGTTAAATTAGGTTTTAAAAATCAAAGGATGTCCCTTTCAGAAACTAAGAGTAACCTTTGAATGGTACTACTTTCTCTCTGGAGTTTCTTTGCTTCTGTATTTTCTTTCTTTTTCACTTTTTAATGCTTTATTTACCACTGGGTAGGAATGCCCATTTAGTAAATCAATGATTTTAAAAGTCTACCTTGTTTTGTTTTTTAAATCTTCCTTCATGTATATTCAGTTCTCTTTTCTTTAATTACATCTCACTAAAGGACACTGGTTGGCAGTTCAAGCTCACCAGCTTCTATTCAGAAACCCTATACAGGGTCACTATGGGTTGGAACTGAGGCTATGACACTTAACAACAAAGGACACTATGGAGTCCTGGTGTGGCGCTGTGGGTTAATGCACAGACTGCAAAGCCATTTTAACGGCAAGGTTGGTGGTTCAAGCTCACCAGCTGCTCCTTGGAAACCCTATACAGGGTCGCTATGGGTCAGAACCAACTCTACAACACTTAACAACAACAACAAAGAATACTATGGACTCCCGGTGTGGTGCTGTAAGGTCAGCACTGGATTGAGAACTACCAACTTGGCAGTTCAGACCACCAACTGTTCCTCAGAAACCCTATACAGGTTACATAGGAGTCAGAACTGACTGGACAGCCCTTAACAACAACAAAGGCCACTAGGGGCATTGGTGTATCACAGTAGGATTAGCACTGGACTGTTAACCACAAAATCAGCAATTCAAACTCACCAGCAGCTCTCAGAAACTCTATACATGGTCTCTATGAGTTGGAACCCACTCCATGGCACTTAACAGCAACAAAGTCCACTAGAAATATCGGAACAGAGCACATTTCCAAAATTGTTTGCTTTATTGATCATGTCACCTTGTTTATTTCTCTTTTGAATTTAAATATCTATTTAGGCTTTAAGTTAATATATTAGTAAAGAGAAAATGGTTTAATTCAATGTTTTAAGCACCATCCAGCATCATAATGATCTGAAAATACACAGCATGGCTCAAATTTTCTTGGTTTTGGACAATAACAGAGCGCATTTGATACCTTTCCTCTACCTTCATGAAACAAAGTTCCACAGAAGACCCCATTGAATGACTGACAGAATTATTTTATTACAATACAAAAAATTTTTTTCAAAGATTTTGTGGATAAAGCTGAATAATTTATATCCTTCATTTATATAAAGATGGACAGGATAAATCATTACATCTCATACTAGCATGTATAGAAACAAATCATGGGAAAATACACATTAACAAATCATTTTTAATAATAATTTCAGAAACAGTAACACTCATATAAGTTGAAGCTTATGGA